CACACACACACACACACACACACTCCCAGACACACTTCCACTGCTCATCTGAACTTCCTGCTAAACCGAGGACAAAAGCGAGCAGCTCTGTGAAAATATGTTTGCTTACTGTTCTGGTCCTGAGACAACGGCCTGGCCACCATTCACACAGTGGGTTAACTGTGTTTAATCTCCACGTTGGGTTATCCCATTGGCATAGATTATTCATCTCAATATGGGGTTAACCCAGCTCTCTGTGACTCCTGGCCCACATAACCGTGGGAATCCTGGAGGCTGTGGACCCACACTGCCATTAGCGAGCTCTCAGGCTGCAGTGCACATCCACAGTACATTTTAATGTATAGCAACAACAAGCTTTACAAGGTGCAGGTTATTGTGCTTTACATTAGAGATCATGTCTGATTGTTGCAATGAGGTAATCTGTGCGTTTGCATATTGAAATTTACTCCTGGGTTTCAGCTTCCATCAGCTGTATGTTCACGATAAAAAATAAAAGTGTGAAGTGATAGTTTCAATATTTTTCATTTCATATTTCTCAAGATGTCACAACCGAAAAATAATCAGTGGCTGAATTCCACTTAGCTGCTTCAGTTCGAACTAAACGGAAACATTTTTAGTGTTAGTAGCTGTTTGAAATGTTGAAAAAGTCTTTTGTTAAAAAGCCCTATTTTGACACATTTCTATTTTGAACTGCTCTGGTGTCTTGTGATTCCACCTGCAGATCCTCAGGAGGTGCTGACTGCGATGAGGAACTACGTCAGCAGCTTCTTCGGCTGCAGGCCGTGTGCCGAGCACTTTGAGAACATGGCGAGGGAAAGTCTGATGATGGTGAACACGTCGGTGGCGGCCATCCTCTGGCTGTGGAAACACCACAATCGCGTCAACAACAGACTTGCAGGTGGGGGGTCAGCACAGGTGACATAGTTAGAAAAATCTCAAAAGTCTCCTTTTCATTGCTTAGTTGGCAGCTGTGGTTCACTTTTTGTGTTTCCTTAAAATTAAAGTGGTAAAACTGTTATACAGCATTTTTTGATTCATTCTCTGAATGAAAGTGAGGAATACTCAGGAAGAACTCACTTTTTAAATGGAAATGTTGACGAGTCTCAATGGGTAGTTTTTGCATAATCCTGCTAAATAACTAACAAACGCAGATGAAAGCACAACCACCTTGATCAAGCGAATCAAAAGCAACGTGTCTTTTCTGTAAATTACAAGTTAGAATTGCAGATGCTGGTTACCTTTGTCAGTTAACACTCGAATTTGTGTTCTTTGAGGGTTCCATTTGGTTTTTGGCACTTTTTCTTATTATGAAATTAATTTCGTACTGTGTTTACAATTATCATTATTATTTTGATTTAAGATGCAACAAATAAATAAGAACAAATTAAGAATTTACTCTCTACCTTAGACACTACACAGAAAGTATACATGATTGATGTAATTCTTAGTGTGCCAAGCCCTCAGTGCTGTCCCTGTCCCTCCCACTCCCTCACATCCTTTCCTCTTTCCTCGTTCCTCTCCTCAGTGTGTATCAGCCTCTCCGTGGAATCATAAGTCTTACCTTCCTGCATTTTGCGGAAGATTTTAACTTCCAGTTTCCCCTCGTGTTCAGTTAGAGCCTGGTAATACCACTAAGAGGGTGAGGGGATGAGGAAGGGTGGATCCTCAGATCAGACACCAGCTGTCACCTCGTCTTAGCCCTGCAAGTATCATCTGTTTCTACCTCACCCGTTTTCTCCTGACTCCCCGTCTGTCCTCTTCCATCCCTCTAACACCCTTACCCCAGTGTCCCTCCGCCATCACCTTACTGAGCGTCAAACATTTCCTCGAAGTCTGCACTCGTACCTTGACTCATGGCCTTGGCCCCCTGAATCCAACCTTCAGCTCAAGTTAATAACTTTTAATAGGTACTGGGACAGAACTGGGAATCTTCAGATCTTTCATTCTGCATTTTTCCCTCTCATCACCAGTGTAGACTTCTATCTTTTGTCACTCTGTACAGAAGTTTATAAAGTTTTCTCTGGTTTCAGACTGAGCCCTATCTGCATATTACGCTTTTTCATGTCAGTCTTGCTAAACAGCCCCTGAGCGTCCCTCCTCCCTCGTCCAGGTTTTATGAGGCACAGGACTGTCATTAACAGCCCACTTTGTTAAATCACTGCCTTTTGTTTGTGTTGACTTCCCCCTCGTCTTTTTCAGGGACAGCTTGTGTCCTGAACAGCAGGGACCAGAAGGACACTGGTCCCTGCGAATATATCTGCTCCCCAGACACTTGAGCACTATTCAGCCTTCCCCCCTTCATCCACGTGTCTCCCCTCTCTTCTACTGCCGTGCCCGTCTTTCTCTCTTTCCACTCACTGTCCCTTGGGACTCATATCCCCTGCTTGACAAGTAATAGTGCAGCATCCCCGCAGGATGGGTCCCACAGGAGCCACCCCTCTTTACACACACACACACACACACACACACACACACACACACACACACACACACACACACACAATTCCCAAGGTATTGTGTGACAGCAGGTGGCAAACACCATGACACAAGCCACATGCGGTCCCCCTCGTTTCCTGCCCCTTCCGCACACACGCAGCATTTCCAAACATGGGTCAAGTTGTGGCGTGTGGCAGGGGGGAGTTAGTCACGGTGGAGGGCGAGCTGGGGTCCACAGGGGATAAGTCGGGTGATTCACAGAGGGAAAGAGAGAGAGGGAGGAGCTGAGGGTTTGGCTGTGTTTGTAGCAATGAGTGGCTGTGTCTCCCTCAGGAGAGCACACTCCATCCACTCAACCCCTCCTCTCCCTTTTGCCTAAAGTGGAGCTCTTTAGCAGGCCTCCCCGCCCCTCCTTTCAAGAGCAGCCATGCATGAAAGAGCATCTATTTGTAAAGCGGCTGAACAATTAATTTAGCTGGCAACAAAGAGGCCCCAGGGCCCTCGGCCTCCTCACAGCAGCAGAATGGAGACTGGTGGCAGCTCAGTCCTGTTGCTGCTTGTCAACAGGCTGAGACTGATTCACATTTCTACAGACAAAAAGCTGCAGCAGGCATCGCTGCTCCACTTCTGTGAAATCATGTGCAGCGCTGCCTGCTGATTTGAGGGTTTTATGGTAGACACATATTGATTATTACTAAGACCAGGCATTGTTTGAAATGTCCTATACTAATATATATGGCTTAGTACCAGTAACAACAAAATCTATATGTTTTAATAAATTGTGCATGCTGGCAGACAACAACTTGACCAGCTTGTGTGGTTACCCTACGATAAATCAGTATCTGTATCAGTATCTGAGTCACATATTCGGCACCAAAACTGGTATTTTTGGCTTCTATGTTATGTTTAAAAAATCAGAGGTAGGTTTGGCAAATGTTGCATCATTAAAAATATTTTGGCAGCTTCCAAGTTTTAGTGTGCCACAGTCTCTCTGTTTGTTTGTATGCTGTTGCCTTCAGAAAAGAACATACCTCCGCCAAGGCCCATCAGTCCCCTCATGAAACCACATTTAAAAATTCACTAGATCCATTAGATAGATTTCATTTTGACTCAGAAATATCAGTCCTTAAATATCCAGGAATTTCATAATTCTAATTGAATGGTTTCTTTCCTGAGGCTTATTATCTCCTTCCACTAAGTTTCTAGAAAATCTGCACTGTAGTTTCAGCGTAATCCTGCTGACTAACAGACAAATGAAAAAAGAAACAAACATAGATGAAAACATAACCTCCTTGGTGGAGGTCAGCATATGTTACCACCTGAATTTTAAAAAGAACTGTACATTTTTTTGTGTCTGATATTGTGAGTTTGTTAATCACATACTGAAGGTATTCATCGTTATGGTCTGTTGGTAGTAAGATGTCCTCTACTGACCTCAGCTCCATTATCTTTGCTGTATTTATGTCAGTAATTCCTGGAGTTAACAACATTGTATAACTGTGAACTAATATCATCTCAAAAGATAAAGTAAAACTAAAAATTTTTATATATCTCACCACAAATTTTATGCCAGATTATGTGGGAAGGTTTTGTCGTGGTTATTTAAATGAGATTAAAATGACATCAGCTGTGCTTCTTGTCAACCATGATAGCTCCGCGTGCCGTACGCTGCAGGTGATCCTCACTTAGAGAATTAGTGCTGAGGAAGCTAGTTTGACGTGCTGAACAATACATATTTATACCTGATGAATATGTATGTGCGGCGGCGATGACATCTCAGTGACAGCCCATTGTGGAAATCTCAGTATGGCTGGTATGGCTAAAGTCACCCTGGCCGCAAATATGGCAAGCTCATTAGAATAAGGGGAGAGATGTGAGGCATCTGGTGTGTGTGTGTGTGTGCTCTCACCTGCTGAAATGTATAAAAGCCCCCACACACAACCGCAGGCAGCATCCTATCCAGGACACAGTAAAATTGATGTATCCTTTATGTAAAGTACTGTATGCAGAGTACATACACTTGCATATGACTGAGATTAATCTTGAGCGGTGGAGAGGAGGAGGAGGAGGAGGAGGGAGCGGCGGCGATGGAGGTGCTGGAGGATGTAAATTGACAGTGCTGTAAAGTGACAGACCTGCTGCTGCTCTGCTTTTTTCCCCTCTCCTTTTACACACACAAACACACACGTGCACACAATGGCCTGTTGGTGACAACAAGCAATTTATTACTAGACACAGCCCTGTGTTTGTGTCCCTGTGGGCAATTGTGCTGTGTGCGTCCATCTGAGCTTGTGTAAGAGCCTGAAAATCTATTTTCTGTGTGTTTTTCTGCCAGTCTGTTTGCATGGGTGCAGGGTGTGTGTATGTGTGAGAGTGTAGGTGTGTGTGTGTGTGTGTGTGTGTTTGTGTGTGTGTGTGAGAGTGTAATTGTGTGTGTGAGAGTGTAAGTGTGTGTGTGAGAGATGAGGGGTGTGGGTAGACGGCGGCTACATAAAAGAAAACATGTTAAAGGAGAAAGTTTCTAATTCATTAGGAGGACAGATGCCCTCTGAGGTTTCTGTTGCTCTCATGTTCAATTTGGAGATTGGACTCCACTTTCAAAAGGGTGTGAAAGGACAAGACAGGTGGTCCAGTGCACCGGGGTCTGCCGTCTGAAAACAGGGATTGTGTGCGTGGGCCTGTCTGAGTGTGTGTGTGTGTGTGTGTGTGTGTGTNGTGTGTGTGTGTGTGTGTGTGTGTGTGTGTGTGTGTGTGTGTGTGTGTGTGTGTGTGTGTGTGTGTGTGTGTGTGTGTGTGTGTATACCCAAGTAGAGAAGCTGTCCACTTTGGCCACATCTATTATCTCACCACCCCTCCCACTGGGACATCCCAGAAGCCCATTGATCATTATTAGACCCTGTCATACATCCACACGCCCACACACACACAAAATATCAATCCCTAGATTACATGCGCAGAAACACGGAAAGATGATTTACATATATACACTTAAACACATACATACACATATGCATATAGGCACTTAGTTTTTACGAGCACTGTGACAAGATCAAATGGGTTCAGCGCAGATTGCACACACTCCTCAAAGCACTTACATCCTCAAGTCAACGCATCAACAAGGAGAATAAAAGAAACAACAATAGGTGAAGTGGCTGACTGGAAGCTCAGAGATGTGTGGTTACGTTATCTAATTTAAGTTTGTGAAGTACTCAATAGTTAGTCTTTGATACAGCTGTAGTAAACAAAGAAGAAGGCCTGGTTAGATCCTGAACAACATGAAAAATACTCAATTACAAGGTTGAGTGTTCAAAAACAACTTTTCCAATTGGGGTTAAAAGTATTTAATTACCTGACACAGCAGTGTAATGCTATGATAAGTCCACATAGGGCCATATGGATTCCCTAGAGTCCACTCCATACACTACCAGGAGTACATTTAGTTGTATAGCACTACATTATATTATCTGAAATTATCATATGTTCATTGGTATTTAAAATAACAGAATAAACTCAAAATGCAATATTATCCTGGGTGTAAATGTGCCATAAAAATGGACTTGTCTTTTTTGTAAAGCTGTAAAACACATTTTAAGCAAATAAAAGATTTACAGAAAAATGTCATGAGCCAGTAATAGATCAGGATTATTATTGTGGCTCTCACATTACAGGATTTATATTTCTCAACCACACACAAACCCACTCCTGGTCACAACTGATCCTTCACTGAAACATTCTCAACTCTGCTGTACAATTCAGTAGCCTTGCTTCTGTGTTTATCTCTCCAGGGGCTTTGAGTGAAGACCCCAACTTCCCAAAGATCCAGTGGCCTTCACCAGAAATGTGTCCCTCCTGCCATATGGTGAGGGAAAACGGGGACCACAGGTGGAGCCAAGAGAAGGTGCTGCCCTTCCTTGTGTCCTACTTCTCCTCCGACAGCATCCTCACAGGTATCAGATCCTTCAGTTAACAAAATCAAAAAAAATCATCTCCAAAGATGTGTTTTAAAAGTATCTAGTTGACAAGTGAAAGTGAATCAGTTATTTCAAATTAAAAAAAAAAAGAAACAAGGCAACAAATAATGGTGTAGATAAATCCTAATAATAATAATAGTGTGTCTGTTTCCCTGTCAGACTATCTTGAAAATGAAAGCCAGATCCTGACAAAACAGAGGGAAAAACAGGCCAGCAAGCAGCGAGCTTTAGAAGCTCAGAAACGTGTTGAAAGGAAAGCCAGGGAGGCCTCAGACTTCATGATGCATCCTCCAGTACAGCCCACTGTGCAAGAAGAAGAAGAGGAGGAAGAGGAAGAGGAGGGAGAGGAGCCACAAGATGAAGCAGTGACAGATGAAGAGGATGAAGGTGCGGAGGGAGCGGCGGCAGTAGATGAGATGGGCAGTAAGACCTCTGAGCCGAGTCCTTGGGCCAAACCTGAAATGGAGTTGGGTCGAAGGCAGCAGCAGGCCCGCAGAAAGCCGAGCATTGTGGGGATGAGGATGCGAGACACACAGGAGGACATTGTGGATCTGGACTCATTTGTCAATCAGCACTACAAGGCCAAGGCTCTGCAGTTGGCCGCCTCCAGCCGGGTCAAACAACGCACCCTGCAGAGGAAGGTGGAGCAGGAGCCAGGGCCTGTGTTCAGACTCGGCATGGAGCTGGACGCAGGGCTCGGGATGGTGGGCCTGCAACCTATGGAGGCCGACTTTGACCTGGACATGGGGCAGAAGAGGGTGCGGCTGCAAAAGCGAGAACTGACGGGCCAGTACTTTGGCGAGGAGTTGAGCCACAAGGGACACTGGATGTCTATGCTGAGCATCGGATTCTCCAAAGTGGACATCAGCCTGTGTGTCATTCTTTACCTTCTGTCCTCTATGTGTCTACTCGCCATGTACCTGTTCTTCAAAAACCGCTTCAGGCTACGACGGGTTAAAATATCCCTGCCCTGAACCAAAGAGTGTCCAGATCTGAGCTGAGTCACAGCAATGATTAACATTCATTAGGTTCATGTAGGCTAAGGTTGGGGTTAGTGTAAGGGGATGTGCCAAGATTAATGTCATCTTAAGGTGGTCCACTTAAATGTTACCTACAGCGCAGGAAGCCAAGGACATGTTTGTTTCCAGATGTTATGGAAGTGTCTGACTAGAGGAGGAAGGGAACATTACTATCTTTACATCTTGGAAAATCATGAGACTTATGTATCCTTGCACTTAATCCGTCCTCCAAGTCTTTTAGGCAGCATTTCCACTGTGGTTCACATATATTTCTGTTTGGGCTTTGTGCTTAAGTTAAGGATAACAAATTGCGCTTTTGATTTACCACTTATGAAGGATGAAATTAATTTAACATTTTTTAAATTTGTATGAAATAAATTACCTATAATACATATTTGGGAGGTGGGGGTTGTGCTACAGAATTTGTTTTCGTTGTTTTATTGAAGTTATGAAAGCCTCCTAATTCCCTGTGTACTATGACCAAAAAATTAAGTTTCACCATTGATTTGTATATAGTTAATATGTTAATAATATTTGAATCAATTGATTTAAATACTCAAATAGTTGATCTTTCAGTGATTTCAAAAATAATCTTAAATTACTGATTTAAGATGTCTGTCACTGTTTGTTAAGTAATGGAATGGTGAAAAAACAATCCCATCCCCTAAATTCTTTGTGAGTTCTTCTAAAAGTGTTGTGTGACTGCAGCTTATGCTGAATACTGTGACTGGACCAGAAGGTGCTCAGTCGCTTTCTCCAGAGAATAGCCGATCAGCCCTTTGTTCTTCAGCTCCTTTGAGTAGGTCTACATTACACTGAGTTTTACATCACGTCTTTGAGTATTACATCACACTGCTGAGCCTACACAACAGCTACTTGTGTTGTTTCTGAAGTGTTGTGAAGTGATGCATATGTTCACACTGGACAAGGTTTGAGAATAAGCAGGATTTGTTTTTGGCTGGTGTCCACGATGTGAAGATTCTGCTGACCATCTCAAACGCACTGTTCTGCTTCTGTCTGAATCAATAAAATTATTTTTGATAAGGACTCATTGCTTTTTCAATGTTCTGATCTGTTATTGAAAACTTTAATTTGGTAGGGTCTGTTTGAACTAATGCATTCTGTAGAGAAGAATTAAACCCTTTGTAATATATGGACTGTTCTATGGCAAGAACAAATAACGTTATCTCATCTTCAGAAAAAGGGTTCCCCAAGGCTGAGTGCTTGGGCCCCTTTTTTTGCAATACATACATACTTCCTTAGCTTCAATTGTCCACACACATGGACATTGACCTCCACCTGCTACCCTCTAATGCTTGCTTACAGGCCAACCTCTGTGTCTGCATCCATGGACTCAATCACTCACTTTATAGTACTTCTTGGCCATTGTGTTCTTCCAAGGAATGTGGACTGGCTTTGCAATCCCTGCGCTCAAGAGAATCACAGCCCAGACAGTGTTTTGTTGTGGTTCCTAAGTGAACCAAAGCCTGAATCTAAGCAGGGGAATCCCTCTGTATCTTCCAGAACCTCCTGAAGACTCATCTCCATTGAGCCTTAACTCCTCTCACAACACCTCCATCACCCTAACATGCCTAACTAGCACTTACTGTGCACCTTTTTATCTGATCTCCTTCACGTTGTTTTCATCATTTCAATCTCTCCTAAATCTTTAGTGCTGTCCCTCCGTTATAAGTCACTTTGGATGAAAATGACCGACATCAAAATATTTTTACGAAACCCTCCAGATTTGAGAATAACAAATTCATGTTTGTTTTTTGTTTTGATCATGACGACAGGACTTGAGGCAAGGAGGAGCAGGGTGTTGCATGTATAATGGGGGGTTAAAGCATCCAAGGTTGAAGGAAAAAGCCTGTTGCCATCTGCTGTGCAGCGCAAGCTAAATCCTAACAATTTCATTGGGATTATAGCAAGTGAGTAATCCAGCTTTCCTTTAGGACTAGAGGGGAGAGATTACCCTTGAGGATTAGCTCCCTGCAGATAATAAACTTTATTAAAACGCAATCGGCTTTCGTGGGGCTTCTTCCCTCACACACTTGGAGGTGGGCTCTTTTCGGGGAGGGGAGCAACAGTGGGGCAGAAGTATAGGAGAGGGGGTCAGGTGAAAGACACAGCGGTGTGTGAGATAGATGAATGGATGGACAGACAGAGGGTGAGGGGTTTGATGTTCTCCAGATTACAACAAGCCCATCTGAAGGACATCGAGCGCTTGATCTTCAGCTTTGAGGTTCCTGGAACGGTGGCGTGAATCCCCTTGACTCCTGCCCCTTTACCTCTACCCCAATCCTGTCACACGTACACGTACACACACGCACTCACACACACACATCCTCATCCCAAATGCCACTCCATATCTTTATCCAAACCACGTCAGGCAGGTTTTGATGGTTGAATAGTTGAGTTAAGGCAGTCGATTCTTCTAATAACAAACACACACTCACACAGAATAGGTTGATTAATGGCCCCACATTAAAGCAGAGGAGCATCACGGCTGAGCAGCTGTGGTTGTGTGACTAAATCAAACTCTCCCATACTTTGAATTAGACCCTGAACGACACATTGTAATTGCCAGAATGAATTGAGGAAAGCACAGTTTGTCAGAGGGAAACTTCTGCATGTTATTTATTCCTTTTGCAAACATTATCCAGTATATCATGAGACAAATTTTAATATCAGGGTGGGCTTTTATTCTTATGTGCCCTTCTAAAACTTTTTGTGTTTGTTAATTGTTAGTTTTGTTACATCTGAAAGTCGAGACAGGGACCATTGAGAAAATGTGAAAAGCTCATAGGATTTTTCTTTTGCCTAAATCCATTATAGCCTTTTGGTTTAAATACTTTTCTCCCACATCTGATCTATTAGTCTGTTTAAATGTTTACCTGTGTTTGTTATTGGATTGGAACGATGCTTTGTGCTCCTCATTACCCAGAAGTCCTCTCATAAGGTGCCCTGAGCCTCATTGTGCTGCAAGTTTTGCTGGTTCGAACTAAAGATGGTTAGTATTTATATAATATCTGTCAGCAACTTTGCCAAGGCTGAGGTTCACACTAAGAACAAGAGGCTTCAAATCTAAATCAAGACACATTCAGAGCTGTTCATGCATCTGAATGCAGAAACTGAATCTGTTTTATTTGTATTTACTTCCAGCTAATCAGATTAAATGTACAAATCATGCCGGGAATAAACAAGATAGTGACAGAATAAAGAAAAAAGTCACACAGGAGTAAAAATGCACAAAGAACCATATAAAATAAAAGTCAAAAACTTGAAATACATAAACAGATAGTCCTGGACAAAGTTGAAAAACAAAAGTTAAATTGTAAAGTAAAAATCAAAAAGCAATATATGTAATAATAATGTAAATGATTGAGCTATAAAGGGTCTTATGGGCTGATTTCTTTGGTCAGAATTCATTATGCTAAGCTAAGCTAATTGCCTTCTGTCTACAGCCTCATATGTAACATAATGCAACAGAACAGCATCTGCAAAGAACTTGAAGCTTTAGAGCTTATTAGGTTTGTGTTTTTGTTTTGTCAGCGCTGTCTGAGTTAAAGATCAAGGTCTTCAATTAGTGTTTCTAGTAGAGCTCATGATTTTGTTCTCTGTCTAGGTTAAAAATGAAGTGTTCAAAAAGGAATAGAAATGATATCGACAGTTCTTGAAAATCTAATACATAGACCTTTAAGGATTGTTTTGTCTAAGCTTTTGTTTTTCGCCTCACATCAGCAAAACCATCTAGAAATCATCCAGTTTGTCGTCGCCCCTCCAGCTACATGTGCCAGCTCTGTTGCACAAAATGACCTGATTACTTTCTTGAAAACTTTCCACACAACTTTTTGGCGTGTGCGTTGATTGTTGTGGAGGATAAATGTTGTGCAGTGACACACTGTTGTGTTGTGAAGGGTAAAAACCTCACCTTGCTGCCCTGTTGTTGTCTTCCATAAATTAGACAATGTGGGGTTTTATAGTCGCTTCTCTCCTGCGTGCTCTCTGCCTCGATGTTTATTACCCCTCCGGTATTGATATTAAAATGCAGGAGGGCCCTGATGCATTTTTCTGTCATCTCTCTTTCAGACTTTAATAATACTATAAAGCTTCCTGCTGTGGACAGAGGGAGAAGTGGGGTGTGTGGGGGGTGCTGAATAAATTATGAAAAAAAAACTAAGCCAGGTCCCCTTTAGGTTTTAAACATTCAGCCTTTTAGAGGCAGGAGTCAAGTAGGGTCAGATCCATCTCATTTTACTGCTGCGGTCCCTCCCCCTTTCATGTGGACGCTCATCTGCTCATCTCCCGAACATCTCATCACACCAGTGTCAGTGTGTCGGGCTGCTGTCTGTGCACCGAGGGACCAGGGAGGGGGGGTTTAGCCAAGTCCTCACAGTTCATCTGTGCCCAGCAGAGAGTTGTATGGGAGGGAGGGAAACCCCAGTAAATCAATAACCTCCTATCAACTACATTTAGGCCTTGATCATCAGCTACCTCGGCTGCACTGTTTTGATTTCAGCACAACTCTGACCTTTGCTTCTGCTCTGTTTTGGTTTCTGATGTTCTGACTCTGGTCTCAGCCCCCCCGCCCCCACCTCCACTGTCAGTGTGTATATAGTTTACAGGAAGTGTTTGTGTAATGAAGTTGGAGAGGATCCAACACTTGTCAGTCACATTGTTTTAATTCGCTCAGCTGACACTGCTCCCATAGCTGAACGGAAGATTCGCTCTGGGTTGGATGAAAATCCTGAGGAATGAAAAGGGTTTTTAACACATTTTTATTTCATGTCACTTGGATGTACGAAAAGAGGCTTTGTGGCCACTTTATTTAAACCTGTCTTAACTGTAAATAGCAAAATATATTTAACAACAGTTTATGAATGTTTAGAATATTGTAATTTTGTTGTTGTGCTTTGTTACATGCGACATCTTTTTAAATCGCTGCCCTGCAAGGAGAGGGATCCCTCCAATGTTCCTGAGAGGATGTCAGGCCTTCTACAAATTGTTAAACCCAAACAATGGTTGTTAATATGGGCTATACAAATACAATCTAATTAGATTTATTTCTGTTTCATTTCATACAGTGAAAACTATTTAATGCATTTTAAGTTTTATTGAACTTAACTCCAACTCTGAGAATTGGAATATGAACCGGCTTACATGGGCCACATAAAAAAAAAAATCAACCTTTCCTTTGGGAGATTTCTGTAAATATCATTTTTTTGTTAAGGGTTTATTTTATTATACGTTTTGTTTTCAGAGACACATTTTTGTGTCATAGCTCATAGGTGAAAGTACACTTTTTACCACCTCGTTTTTTATTCAGTCATAGGCCTTTCAACGTCAGTGTCAGGAGGACGTGGAGGATCCTGGCCGTGAAGCTGCAGGCATGGCAACATCTGGACCAAATCAGAAAACGTCTATCCAGAGGTTCCTGCAAAAATACCCCATAATTTAATTGTTTATTTAAACATAGTTAGAATGATGTATGTCTGTGATAAGTGCAGCCTTTATAACCCTTGTCTGGGCGTCTTAATAAAAGAATCAGCCACCTCTGTCCAGTTATTAGTGAATCTGAATCTCAGTCTCTCATCAGGAGCACTGGCTGAACCGTGGTTCTAGTTATTTGAGTCAAACGAGCCTATTACCGCCTCGTCTCAGCTCGACGGGGTCGGGTTCAATCAGGGAATTGGAAAATATCATTTCTGACGTCTATAGCTTTTCGTTTGTTCAACCAATCTCTCCCACTAATTACCCAAATGGACAGGAGCTGTCAGGAGACAATAACTATTCCCTAATAGAATTTGCCCCCCAAATGCAATTTAATTTTCTCCTCCACGCTCTCTCCCAAGGTTTTTTTTCCCCCCTTCGCTTTTTCTGCCTCTCTCGCTCTCTCTGTCCCTCTTCTGCCTCCGGACCGAACGGTGAGGGACGCGCGGTGCCACTGCTGCGTAATGCTGCTGCTCCGTCAGTGGATGTGAGTATGGACTGAATGACTGGCTGCTGCTGCTGCTGCTGGTGTTTCTGTGAAAGCTCCGGTTCCG